CCTCTTGAAGGAGGATGGAAGTGATGACGATGGGGAGGATGAAACTACAACAGTCAGGGAAACCGAGTCTCCAATCTGGACATACATCCTCATTTCATCAATGAACCAGCCATCAGATAGCATGCTTCCATTTGAAAACATTATACATCTCAAATGTAATTAAGAAATTTAGACTGGCATGAATATGTAATGTACACATTGCTCTGCAGATGCCTTTTCCGTCCGACAGGCTGGTGCAGACTTTAATTTGGAAGAAATCCATTTTCATACAAAGGTAACCAAGAGTGACAGGAAATAGGAAGCCTACATCATTTATCTTCTGTGAACTTAGAAAAAAAAAATCAGTTAATTGCTTTTCTAGGAAGCTATTTTGTGGAATCACGGTGCTTTATCTTTCTGTTCTTTTTCATGGTATAAATGGTGATTTTAAAATGCCCATTGTGAAAATGCTGATTAATCAATACATCTTCAACTATTTACTTATTTTAAAAAAATTCTGACCAGCCAAAAATGGTGTCTCTGTTCTTGTGGATGAATTATCAACCACTAGGAAAAGTCCTAATATACACACAGTCTATTAATTGATATTCAAATTGAGGTATCTCTTTCCTCATCATTGATTAAACTAAGAGCAGCAGGTCCTGCGTTCTCTCCTTCCTTCCCTGGCTTTTCAGATGTGTTCTATTCTCAGCCATCAGAGCCCTCTGTGAGAGTGGTCTTAAGTCACCGCTACTTATTAAATTAATAACAAAAAGAAACTAAAATGTGTATGTTTTGGAATACCAGTGAAGCTGTAACTTGCCGAACAAACTGATTTCATAGCCCATGAGGCCCATATTCCCGTGCTTTGTCTCAGTGGCACTGCATATTAGGCTTTTTTATAGGATTGTCCCATTTCTGTCTTCCTGTATCACCTAGCATATACATATGTATTTTTAAATTCTACCAAGTTTGAGGCCAATATAAACTACTCTTTTCAAATCTAAAATTATCATTTTAACAATAATTTTGTATTATTCCATGATAATGAATATCCCTGATATTCATATGGAAATGGATATCCATGATATCATGATATCATGATAATCATGATAACATGATATCATGGATATCCATATCATGGATATTATTCCATGATAATGAAGGATAGATACAGCATGAAGCTAATGACGCATGAGCTTCAGGGCCTCTTAAGTGAACATTCCTCCAAGGCCCCAGGAGGGGCTCTAGCAATGAGTTAAAGCATGTTTTTGTAAAAATTTCAAGCATAAGATAATTTTTTACTCCTTTTTTCCTAACGAAAACTCCCAAGACAGTATTTATTTTAGGTCCCACAAAACCTATATCTACTCCTAGGTTAACAGTCCCCAGTGTCTGGATCTTGAATTACATGTAAAGGGCAAAACATCAATTTTGTGTGTGTATGTGAAACAAAAAATTTTCTTCAACTGCAAATAAGATTTAGTGTGCCCTACCCAAGAATGTTCTAGAACACATGCTGCAGTCATTTCTTATGTCCCTCACCTAACGCTAGTCACCCTTCCGAGTGGCACTCCAGGGAAGGCTCACTTAATGAGGGATGGCATCAAGAATCAAAAATTCAGCTATAACAACAAAAATATGTTTTTCATTAAACACAAAACTGTGCTGGGGAAAACCAGCCAGGAGACAGGTGTATCAGTTAAGGAACTCCCTTGAGGTCTTTAACTTCCACATCAAATTGCACTGAATTTTTCCACACTAATTACCTATTATTGAAGACTGAAGAATTATAACAAATAATTCGCCATGGCAGCAGATAGAGTGCAGATGTTGTAAGAAAAAGAATGAAAAATTTCATGAAGTATAAAATCAGGCAAAAGAGATTCACAAATTCTCAATTTTTTAAAATAACATTGAATAGTTTTCTACCACAAGGATTATGAAGGTGAGGAAATTTTCTAGGACTAGAAGGCCAATTTTAAATTTAGTTTGGACTGTACGTGAGAGAAATTGCAAATTAAAAGCTAAGTGCTGGAGTCTAATTTATTCAATTCATGTAAATTTCTTGCACATAGAGATCACATCTTAGATTTTTTTTTTTCAATTTCTCACATCACATTACACCTAGTCATTGATTTGATTTCTTATGAGGACTGTACCTACACAATGCCATACAGCTATATTTGCATCTCCCTTGTCTTTACGTCATTTTTACCTAACACTTCCTTTCAGCCCCCAAAACCTTCACACAGGCATAAGTCTTATTCTACACCTAATGCCCTGGGAAAGTATAGTCAAATCAGGAAAGTTCCTTTCAGGTCACTGCCTCTGTAAATTTCCCTAAGATAATGCATTCCTTACCTCATTGAAAATTAATGTCAGTACTATCAAGAGAACATTTTTATATAGGTATTGTCTGCATAAAAAAAAATATGCATTAATATTTCTTGTTTGCCACATTTGTTTTATTCTCTCCAGAAAATAAAGGTAAATATCCCCATAAAAGTACAAACTGATTAGCTGATAAAATTCTTCAGTTTCTGTGCTATGATTATAGATTTTATAGAGATGTCCTATAAATAATGATATACCTGCAAAAGGGTATATATAAAAGGGTCTCTCGGAGTACTATTAAAACAAACAAACAAACAAACAAACAAAAAAACTTTTTGAGTCTGAAAGATGGAAAATGTAACTTATAGATACTATTCTGCTGCTAACTGGGAAAGATTCATTTTCTTATTATAATAGACCGATTAAACACACAAGTGTTGCAAAATTCAAATTATCATATTTTCCATAATATGCAAAGTTTTTTGCTAAAATAAGGACTGTACATCTCTCATACCAAAAACAAAAAAACCAAATCCACCAATTAAAACTTTGTTTTACGAATGACACTTCTTACCTTTTCCTAACCACGCTTGATTGGCCTCTTTAGAGTATTCAGTATAGAATGTTAGAAAGGAAGCAAGCTGACTGGCTCGATGTCAGTACATGGGGGAAATGAAACACTTCCTTTTTAAAAGCTCTAATTTCTCCTGGTATGACTTTCTATCCTAGGCATTTCCCTCTTTCTGTGATTACTGAATCGTAGTACAATGTGTCATTCCCAATCTGGGGTCTTGGAAGGGCGTCCTGAAAGTGTCCATGTTATTAATGACATACCCAAAGCCTAATGAAAACTGTATAGTTATCTTCATAGGATTATACTGGCTATCAAAAACTGGCTTTTAACCAGGGCTTTATCAACTCATTGAGTTACAAAGTAAATAAATAAATTACCACCTAATAAATTTGAAGTTTCTTTGGCACATAAAAATCATTTTAACAGGGAATCAATTGGGATTACAATTATAAGGGATTCCTGGTGGTTGCAGCCACCTCTGTTCAAGGATAAGCCATGTTTAATTTGCCAGGTCATTTGATGACAACAAAAATCAAAGGGCTTGATAAATTCATTTTGTAAAGTGATATTAATGTGTGTTTCTTACAAACTTTTAAAAACATAAATGCTTGCAGAAATTATGTGTTGCTTCTATTAATTCCTAAGAATACTTTATGGGATCCATCATAAATGAATAATAAAAGGAGTTACTAATATACATGTCACTTAATTTCTTCTTTAGAACCTGTATAAACACCTTAGAGTAAAAAAATATATATCTTCTCCTTCAAGGGTAATATGTTGATCTCCCAACTGGTGCATGGTGCTTTCTGAAGTGATAGCTCAGCTCAGAAATGATTAACTTCAGCCTTGTCAGACTCCCAACAAGAAACATCAAATCATTCGTGTTTCATTTGGTTATTAAATCAAATTAAAATATACAGAATATCCTGCAGTGTTAACTCCATCTTTAAAAATGACTGTGTCAAAAAGAAAAAAAAATGGACAGTTCTTAAATCCAATGCTCCAGAATTCACATTTTATGTTTGTTAATATACCACATCACAGCAAAACAAAACAAAAAAAAATGCGCAGGCATACTTTTTCATGTGCTCTTGACAACTGTCATCAATTTGTAATATAGTCTGAAATGTGGTTCTTTAAGACAAAACTTCATTTTCCATCCAGATTTACTGTTCAAGTGAGTAATCATGGCTTCTTTGCTACCCCTGTGATTATGTGATTTGCCTTCTTGAATTCTAATATTCTATACATCCAATATACATATTTTATAATGCAATAAATACTTTCAAGATAAATAAATAAATAATTTCAAATAAATAAATTCAAGATGCAAACCAGAACAATCTGAACTAAAAGATTTCATTCTCTTCATATAACCTAAGATCATTTTTATAGGACAAGGAGAGTTCTTACTTGATTCAAATCAATTAATCTGGATTTTAAATATTATAATATGGACAAGACTTTGATACATTTGAATATGCACCATACTTAATATTAAGTCTTTTTTTTAAGTAGGCTCCATGTCCAACATGGGGCTCAAAGTCACAACCCTGAGATGAAGACCTGATATCAAGAGTCAGATACTCCACCAACCGAGCCACCCAGGTGCCCCTCAATATTGAGTCATTTAATAGTTACTTTAAAAATCATTATGAGGTTTACTTTGTGAAGTCTGTGCTGGAACATTCCAAAACTGACAAAAGCGTCAAACTTCTGAACTCTTTTACATAAAAATTAACCTCTTTATATATAGCCTTTACAATACTTTTATTTCCAATATATAGTATCTGTGTCAACACTGACTCATTAACAATACAAAAAAAAATCCCTTGAACTATATTGAAGGAGACATTCCTTTCCTGAATGAATGTACACACATAACTGCATGTGTTGGAACTTAAAAATAATTTGGTGATAATCAATTTGAGAAAGTTGATAGGAAACCATTATTTATGTGTACATCCTCCTTTAGTGATTGCTACAAATCCTACCATATGGAGTTGTTCACACACTGAAATAAAGAAGCATGGGAGTTTAATTTGTAATCGTCCAGTGGTCACTTAGAACTGCTCAGATGTATGTAGGTGGTATTGAGAAAACTTACCTCTCCTTGCTTGGGGATGCTGAACTTGGACAGCTTGGCCTTGGCTCTGGTGGACTCTGGCTTGGTGGCCGGGACTCCCCTGTATGACGTACAGTGCACACTGGTTTCTGTGGATGACTTAAGCTTTGGAGACTCATCAGGAGCCTGATCTTGGCCGTCCATCGGCCGCACATATGCAGTTGGTTTCTGCTGAACCAGGCTGGGTTTTGAAGCCAGGGATGGAGGAAAGTTCTGAACACAGTGTCCACTGCTGCTGTGCTTGGCTGCCATAGCAGGTGGCCTTTCCTGGGTCTGAAGACCCACCTCTACATTGCACACTTGCTTGGCTCGTGGCTGCTGTCTGCCAACACCATCTCCAAGCAAGGTCCTGAGAGAGCCTTGTGCTGAGTTGGAAGAAGAAGAAGAAGAAGAGGAAGATGAGGATGAGGGGCTCGACACAGAGTGGTTAGGTTTTTTATTATGGTTCTTTGGGTTAGCAGATCTGTTCAAATCAAGCAACCTGGGTCCGTGCTTACTTGCTCTCTGTTGGCCATCTGATGGTGGGTGCCCAGCCTTCTGCCAGCCCATGGTGCCCCTCTTACTCTGCTGCACGGGGACAGCTGCTGGTGTGGAAGATGCAGTGCTACAGACAGATGAGGGCTGGGTCTGGGCTCTTGAATCTGCAACAAAATGTTCATCGATCTTGTTCACAGGAGCCTGAGGAACCCCAGGTTTGGGAACGCCAACGAGATGACTCTGATTAGATCTATCAGTTAAAAAGTCTTTCATTTCATCGTAATTGCCTAAAGTATTCTGGATCCGGTTGGAGAGCTCATCTCCCTTGTTCGTCTGGAGAAAGAGAAACACACGTACCCTCTTGTTAGAGACAACAGAAACACAGGAAACAACGGAGAGGTGCCATTATTGATCACAGTAGGCTTGTCACATTCAGAATAAGAGTTGGGGGATGACATCAAAACTGTCCTTTGCTGGGGCGCCTGGGTGGCTCAGTCGGTTGAGCGTCCGACTTCAGCTCAGATCATGATCTCACGGTTCGTGAGTTCGAGCCCCGCGTTGGGCTCTGTGCTGACAGCTCAGAGCCTGGAGCCTGCTTCAGATTCTGTGTCCCCCTCTCTCTCCGCCCCACCCCTGCTTGTGCTCTGTCTCGGTCTTTCAAAAATGAATAAACATAAAAAAAAAAAACAAACCTGTCCTTTGCTAAAGAAGTCCATCCACACTCTGTATCATGCCAGAACCAGGAAGCTGTTAAGAGCCTTAGACTACATCAAAAAGGAATCTATCCTTGGTGGTGTGCTACAGCTAAGGAAATCAGAAAATTACCACTGTAGCTGCACAAAACAGTCTCAATTAAGACTTTCCAGGATTAGGTTTTCTTTTCTTTTTTATAGTCCCTTTGGAAGCTTTTCTTGAAAATTCAAATTTGGCTCAAATTGTTCTGCTGCCAATTTCTAAATATATAATTATTCTTGTCAGAAACCCAGAGGGACAGGCAAAAGAAGTCAGAGTAAAGCTTAAAATGAACATGGGGCTAAATGTGCAAGAAGCCACCAGCCTAAACTATCCATAGTTCTGTGCAGCCTCAGATATTAGTGAAATCTTGGAAGACCTTTCATTTTGGAAGAGAAGCTGTATCTCTGACCTTTGGTATAAATGAGAAGCAATCCAGCAGCTTTTTTCTCATCACCCTATCAGGTACCCTGATTGCAGCATGACCCATGTGTGGCAAATGTTACCAAACCTCTTTATATTTCCTAATAGCTGAGAAAAAAACATAACAAGTGGCATTGACTTTGAAAATCAATGCAGAAATGAAGTCTATATACTATTGATAAAAATCACAGCAAACAGCTCTCACTATTAAGCAAAAGTTATATTTTACTGAGGGAGCAGGCAGTCAAGTCGTGTGAACTCAACACCAAGATCTGTGATCTGAGAAGACCTCATTTTGAGCGGCTGAGCTGTCTTCCTGGGCTGACCAGGCAGAGAGCCAGCTGAAGTTTGGTTGGTCGACTCTTCCAATACAGACTGAAAGTAGAGGTACAAGTGAAGGTGAAGATGAACAACAGAAAACCATCTACCTTGTAGGGTTCACTGAAAAGGGAGTAACTCGAATTAAATGCACCATCATCCTGCTGAGTTTCCTGATTTCTTCTTTCTCGTTCTTTCCTCCGTAACACATTTCTATCTGGTTCATAGACGCTGCATCAGGAGAAAGAAAAGAGAACAACCACATAGGAAAAAGTTAAAGGCTAAAGCCCAGTCAAACATTCCCCTGAGTGCAGAAGTCTGGGTCATGGACAAATGGTGATGATAAGAACATGGATCAGATTAAAGCCAGTCTAATCAAGCAGTATGAGCTTGGGTGTCTGATAATTACATTCTTTAGGAGCAAAAGAAAATCCTTAGGACAAGTTCCAACCAGTACTAGACCTCTCTGCCTGATATGTAAAACAGGAAATATCTAAGCAATTTTGACAGGAGAAGACTGAAAGTAATCTTAAGGCAGACAGTAATTACAGTGATGTGTAAATAGAAATTATGAGCATATTTCCTCTTAAGACATAGCCTCTGAGTGTTATATGGGAATGCTTCTGTTCTTGTCTTTCTTTCTTTTTCTTTTTTTTTCTTTTCTTTTTTTTTTTTTTTTTTTTTTTTTGCATGGCTGTGTTTCTGTAGTGATTCTTTCATTAACTAGCTCCCTAAAGAGCTGTTAAAACTCCATGCTGCAGTGGTTTTCACAGTTATGAGCCTTCTTCTGATCTCTGCTAATCAGTCAAGTCGTCAAACTACTACTGAATCAATTCTTCCTTCTGATGTATTTGACACTATCACTCCTAACTATGAAAAATGTGCCAGGAGGAAGGGGCGCAGGCAACGAAGGGAGAGAACGGAAATTGAATTATGGTGTGTCATCAAGGATCTCAGCCTTTTTGTTAAAGAATATTAATATCTATTCTCCCAAAATACAATTATGAAGTGACCAGACACCAGATAACTGGGAGGACTAAGGGAGTGTTCCTTCCCCCTCATAAGGAGGAAATAAAGGGGCTAATTCAACTAATAATAAGGAAGTGACCCTTTTACTGAAGGAAGGAAATACACATGTTTTTTTCAGCTTGGTACATAAAGTAAATCTGGCTCAGTGGAGACAACATACCTGACATGTCCCTCAGAATGAGCACTGTCTTCATTTCCTAGCAGAAGCATTTTAAGTGATCTTGTTCTGCTTAGAGCTCCCACTTGATCTAATGCACAGATGCCTGAGCTGGGAGCAAGGACAACCACCTACTGACTGTGGTTCTCCCATAACCAGCGACATGATGATGGGAAAGCCACACAACCTCTCTGCACCCCAGTGTCTTCATTATAAAACAGGGATGTTTCATGGCGTTGTAAGGTTTAAACGTGAAGGTAATCTACAAAATGGCTTTGGAATAGCTTTAGGTGCCCAAACTCCAATGTACTGCTTTTAAATGTTGTTAATAATGAAAGGATCTGTGGGTTCATAGAAATATATGAAAGAATGAGATCCTGTTTTGTTTGGTTTTGTTTTAGCTGAATTGCTATCTTGAGTATAAGAGAATATTTGTGTCATGTAGCTACAGAGGACACAAATAAAATGATCATAAAATACATATTGCTTATCCTTCTAGCTCTGCCCGGGTGGATAGAATATACTTTAAATTCGCTAAGGGGCAATGCTAAATATGCTTTCAGCAAGGCTGGGAGAACACCTAAGGAATTTCATTTAAATTTAAGATTAGGAAATGTTAAAATACCCAGAACATATCACCTATTAGCATTTTAATTCATCTTTCGTACGTTACCCAAAGTTATTAGATAGGGGAGTCCAACCAGTGACCTTCACATAAACGGAGGCTGCAGCCACAGCCTTACCAAATGAGAGGCTCACAGCTCTGACACTGCGATCACTAAGAACTCTCTGGATGGCTATAGTGATAGTGACTGGCATAAGGAAGGCATAAGATGAAAATGACACTCTTATTCACAGAACCAGGCTTCAAGTTCAAAGAAGAGGCTATGATTGCCCTGCCCTGCTTGTGGACATTCGCAATATGAGACTGCAGCTTTCACAAACATTCCATGGATTTCAAATGGAGACTGCTCTGACAACACATGACTCATGCTGTGGATGGGCATGAAGTGAGCTTTAACCAAGGGGACAAATCGAGTTTTACTATGAACTTGCTAACTTTAGGACCCAAACCAGCATTTGGCAATCAGAAAAATAAGCTTGCATACCATGCACCGTACTTCTTCCCCTCTCCAGCACACACAGGTATCTGCGAAGCACCAACTATGCAGGACTCCATGCACAGAGACTTCCATAAACATGCTTGCTGCCCTCAGGCAAGGTCAAACCAACCAAACACACAAGACTGGTATGATGCATGAAGTGGCCTTATGTAACATGGAGCAGGCAGGTGGTCATTTAGGATGATTTCAGGACTTCTGAGAGGCCCCCATACCCAAAATAATACCTCCTACATCTGCTGGCTGACGACTGAAATTCCACAACTAGAGAGTCATTCCTCTGGCTTAAGATGTCTTCACCCCTGTAAAAAATGTAGACACCACAAGAAGGGGAAACACTTTAACCTGATCAGCCCTTGGTATCTGAATGTGTATGAGTTTGTCAGCATTTTTGCCAAAGGCCAATGGGAAAGGGCACAGGACATCAGGGTCCAAATATGAGGCATGACAAAAAAAAAAAAAGGAGGGATGATGTAGAATATAGCAATGAAAACAAATTTATAAAACACTGCCTACTTTGCAACATGGCTTAGATGTTTAGCATTAGGCTGAAAGCAAAAATCAATTAGGCAGATATCAGACTTACTGTATTTTCCAGGGTCAGGGAGTAAAAATCACTTAAAAATATGGAGAAGTTGGGAGGTGAGAGGCAAGCTGCTCCTCTTTAAACCTGCTTCATTCCCCAATCCATTTAAAGATAACCAAAAGCACTCCAACATGCACACCAGTGCTGGCTAAAGTTCTCTAATGAGGTTCTACCTGCATACCCAGCCTATAGCTTCTACTACTAAGAAAGACTGAACACCCTCAGGACCACCTACACATAGTCTACTAATAAAAATGCACTGGCCATTGGAGTGTGTGGGTGACTCAGTTGGTTGAGTCTCTGTCTGACTCTTGATTTCAGCTTAGGGCATGTTCTCATAGTTCATGAGGTTGAGCCTCACATCAGGCTCAGAGCCTCACATCAGGCTCTGTGCGATAACATGGAGCCTGCTTGGGATTCATTCTCTCTCTCTCTCTCTCTCTTTCTCTCTCTCCCTCTCTCTGCCCTTCCCCTCACTCTCAAAATAAACAAATAAACAGTTTTTTTTAAATGCACTGGCCATCTTTCACAGGATAGCCATGATGCTTGTGCCATGCAATATCTTCCATGCCACCAGATGAAACCAGAATGATCAAAAATGACAATCATCCCCACCTTCTCCGGAAGAGAGCAAAGGAAACCCAAAAAGAGAGCTAATACGTCTTCAATGCTTTCCCTTTGGTTTCTCTTCCCCAGCCTCCACTGAACATTTATCCCTTCCTAATGGTGACCCTCCTGGTTCCTCATCCTTAACTAGAACCACAACCCTTACCTGTCATGTCAGGCCTAGGAAAATGTCACCTGCTTAATGCAAATGTCATTGTAGAGAAAGTCTGGACTTACATGCCCCATCTTTCTCTAAGTGTCTGAAATTTTATCTCTTTGGTCAACACTAAATGTTTAACTCATAAAGACAGTATCTTCTTGACAGTAAGTCCACCATTCCACTAATTACCAGTGAAATCTCTGTAGGTACTTACAATTCTGGAGAGTGCTTTTCTCTTGATTTCTCACCATTAAAACTTATCCCTCTTCCCTCCTCTGCCATTCAAACGATGTAAAGCCCATGTCATTTGCTTTAGAAGCAAAGGAACCTTTCCCCTGACATGCTGAAAGTCAGGTCATCTTCCCTGGGGATGGTCGACTAAAGTTGTAGAGAATTCTTATTCCTGGCATGCCAATAAATACATTAGACTCAGTAAGAGCTTCGTATCATGAGCTATGTTTTGTTATTGTTGTTGTTACTAGCAGATGGTAAAATCTCTATCATCTGTAAAGTTATTCCTTATTTCTGTGAAAATTGTAAGAATCACATTCCTCAAATGTATGTCACCAAATGTATTTATTTATTTTGTATGAAAGTGGAGGCAGCCAACTGCTACAGTATTATTTATTATATATTGCAAATGCATAACATTCCCAGAAAATGAAGCTTTTTAATCAACTACCTTTAAAAGACTAACTTATTTTTAGAATAAAAAAAATAGCCAGTGAAAAACATAGTAAAAACATTTCTGATCATTGCCCCTTATTTGTTTTTAATCTATAAAATGAGGTAAGTATAGGGTTCAGGGCAAAGCCAATTACGCTGATTAGGGAGGAATAGAAGTCTAAACATGAAATTATCACCATTTCCAAAATTAATGTATCCTTGATCATATGGTAACAGTATGAAACTGAATAACAGCAATACCTTTGTGTCTGATAGTTTCTCCCTTCCACTGGGCTCAAAACATTTCACACATATGTCCCCTAATTATCCTTACAATGTCCCCTGGAGAAAGACAAGTATGGTAGATATTATTACTAGGCTACCTTTTTTAAAGATCAAGGAACTCAGGATAAGAGTTCAATCACCAAAACAATGTCATAAAGAAGACATCATGTAGAAGGGACAGCAATGTCAATCCGTAGAGGAGGGGCTACCCGGGAGCCAAGAGGTGGACACACTTCCTAAACCCTAATGTCTACAAGCCCAGTATTAGAAAACACTGAATGTTTCCCTCACAAAAGCAAAACAGGACAATGAAACATAGGGAAGCTACTTTCCATTCAGAAAGAACTAAAATGAGAATTCTGGAATAAAGGCTGGGTTGTTATAATTTTTTATAGTCCCAAAAAACGAAAGACAAAAATCAGTTTCTTTCCACAGTACACATGCCAAAAGGATATCCATGTAATACAGAAGAGTGGAATAAAGCACAGGTGAGTGAATTTAAAAATTATAGACTCAAAAGTAAGCCAGCAAAGGCTGCTCATCATTTTCCTCAGATCCTACCCATCCTTCAGCCTGCTCTGGTCTCTGCAGCCTTATTAGAGAGAAAGGTGCTGGAGCTGGGGGAGCTGCCCCCTCTGCTGAGCTCAAGTTTGACCCAGAAGGCGCAGCTGGCCAGGAGGGACTGACTCTCTTCCCTGTAGCACTGATCCATATGCAGCCTGTTCACATTCGAACAATCGCTGCAAACAAACTGCATTTCCCATGGACGAGGCTTTCAGCCAAGGGGATATGTAGCTAATTACACCCCTTGGCTGGAATCATCATAGTGTTTTCTTCTTTAAAAAAAAAAAAAAAAAAAACCAAAAAACATTATCCTACCTACTGGTATGTCTCCAGAGTTGCGGTCTGGGAAACAAGTACATTCAAGGGGAAGAGAGGGAACAATCTCTCACCGATCTGAAGAAAGTTATCATGTTCTCCATGGTTAAAAATATTCTCCTCTTCATACAGCAGAAATACAATTCCCTTCAGTCCAAAAGCATTTCCTGAATGCCATGGTGTTAGATGCAGGGGAGACAATTAGGGCTGTGACTGGCCTTTCCTGCTGCTGAGAAGCTAATGGTTCAGAAGACAAGGGGGAAAAGAGGGAAGGGCCCCATTCTATAAGTTTTTTTTTTTTAGAGAGAGAGAAAGGGAGCATGGATGAGTGGGGGAGAGGGGCAGAGGGGGAGAGAGAGAGAGAGAGAGAGAGAGAGAGAGAATTTTATGCAGGCTCCACACTCAGTGCTGGGCAGGGGTCTATTCTAAGCAGAGAATGCTGACATCATGTGGCTAGGGCACTGCAGAAGGGAGCACAGGGAATCTGGAGTGCTTCCTGAAAGAGACTCCTTTGAGTTGGGTCTTGAGAAAAGGGCAGGTGGAGGACAGTGAAGGGAAGAAGGGCTTAAAAGTACAAGGTACATAAATTACTACTAAGTGGCCTTTGAGAGGGTTTGGAAGAGGTGACTCTTGCCCTCCCAACACCATCCTACTTCTTTATCCAGCTGGAATTCCACATTTAAAGTTTCATTTGTTTGGTTTGCTCCACTGCTACTCTGTCATTTCTACCTTACCCCAAATAAGTTTATCTGATCCCTTCCTGAAGCAGGTTTGGTTTGGAGTGAATAAATGAAGGGTGGATAAAGGGAAGAATACAGTTTGTATCAGGGTTGGCCTTGAACACCCTGACCACAGAGAAGACAACCTTTTCAATCGTGGGACGCTTAAAGTCCTTGGAAAACACGCTAACCTGCCCCTGGGGTGTGCACTGGCAGGCACAGGGGCAAATAGGAAGAAGAAAAGGCATTAAGTGGAGAGAAGAATGTTTCACAGAAACTCTCCTGATCTTTGGAGCAGTAGCATATACAACGGTGCATAATTCAAGAAACTTAATCAAATGCTGCAAAATAATAACTGCTTTACGCTTAACGAGTCAAACTAATTATCATCTCTTGTTATTTATAAAGCAAATGATAGAAGATTAGTAATCCCTAAAGTCAGAGAAAAGCAAGATTACAGAAGTATACTTGCAAATTCCTTCCTTAATCTATAGACAGAGCTGGGAGACTGAAAGACAGGAAGGTAGTCAGAGAGTGCGCAGGTGAGAGAAGCAAGTCAGGCAGAGAAAAGGTGGGTTAGAATCAGAGCTTGGTGAAGAGGCAAGGATCCTCCAATGAGTGTTCTTCAAGGCCTTGAACTGTTGTAGCTGTGGTGCTGGCACCAGGAGGTGGGGGGTGGGGAGGATGATGGTGGTAGTGGTGGTGATGATGGGGTTGGGGTGGTGATGAGGAGGTGGTAGGGGGTGAAAGGGTGATGGTGGTAGTGGTAGTGACAATGGGGTGAGTGGTGATGATGAGGTGGTGGGGGGAATGATGGTGATGGTGATAATGGGGGTGGGGGTGGTGATGATGGGGGTGGTGGGGGCGGTGGTAGTAAGAAGGGCTGTGGGGGAAGAGGAGGGGGGTGAGGTGTTGGGGGTGGTAATAATAATGATGGGGGTGTGGATCGGGGTGATAGTAGTAAGAAGGGGTGGGGGGAAATGGGAAGGGATGGGGTGTTGAGGGAGCAGTAATGGGGAGCAGGGTGGTGATGGTGGTGGTAAGAGTGGTAGAGGTGGTGTGCTGGGAAGATGGGCTGGAGGGTGGTGGCAAGGGGTGGGGTGGGGTGGCAGAGGGTAGTGGTGGTGAGAATTGTGGGAGGTCGGCAGTTAAAGATCTGCTGAGGAGAGAGGACTGGTCAACGGTGCATACAATAAACCCTTAAATCCTGAAGAACATCACTCTGCCCTGCTCACTTATACTAGGCTTCTTTTTGACTCAAGTAATTTCAGTTCTCACACCTGTTCCCTCCATTTTCCCCAACAGCATTACACCACTAACTTGCCATCAGCTTTGTAAGTATGACCCGCAATATTATTTCTACCATAGGTACCTTGAAAAGGTCAGTCCAACCTTACTTGTTTGTCTCTGATCACAAAGGTGATTCAGAGACTCTCTTTGAGAGCATTTATAGATCTCTTCCTCAGGGCTGCCAATCTGTTCTACAAGAATGGGAGAAGAATTGAGGATGGTTTGTGCCATAATCACTTGTCCTACACGACAGCTTTGGTGAAACTAGGAAAGAGAAGGGAGTCACAAAAATAATGAACACCCACAGACAAATGTAGCCGACAAATATTCCAAAGAAAAATATCCTTTTGGGATAATCTATAACATCTTACCAAACCCACCAGGCCCATATTAAATTTTGCTAATAACAACAACTACCCTTTAATACTACATGCAGCCACTGCATGAAGCACTTTACATACATTATTTCACTGAGTAGTCTTCAAAACCCCAAGAGACATTATCCCCATCAACCACTGAAGAAACATGAGGCTCTAAGTTTAACTAACTTGTACAAGTCCCATAGCCAGTGAGCGACAATGTTGGGGTCTGAAGCCAGGCAGTCTGGCACCAGAGAATGAATTCTTAGACTATGCTCCACTGGCTCCCCAGGGAACCTACTTACTGACAGACTTTGACAAATGGTATCCCCATCTTTTGCTAGTAACTGCCAGGCAGAAGGGTGTTAATTTTCATATCATGACAATTTGAGTTCATTCTTCTAAGATCTGCTAAGTTTCCTTGGTTGATAAGCATCAACTTTCAGAACTCTTGTAAAACTTATAAAATATAAGTGAGATAAGCAATTCAAATGAGTTACAACTAGCAATTAACTAATACACCAGTCCCTGAACTCTGTACAGTGAATTACTTAAAAACTGTGGAACACCATAATTAGTGCATTGTAATGGCACTAACAAAGACAAGCCGCTTCTGCACTACGGTACTGGACGCTCATCTGTTCTCTACTGACCATTTAGTGAGTCCTAACTCCATTTCTAACTCGGTGGAAATGATAACTGTTCCAAATCTCTCTCGTAAATACCCTCCAGTGAGTTTTTAGAGA